TGTCAATCTTGCCCGTATCAATCAAAGACTGCACTACGTTCCCCATGCGCCTGCACACGCTCATCGTCATCGTCAAGACCCTTCATGATGCCTACCCTTTCACTGCCAACACCAGTGGGGTCTCGCCGAGATCGTTCTTGCTGTTGAGATCAAGTACCTCTACCAAGCCCAGGTCGGGGTCGAGCACGGCAAAGGCAGCCTCCTGCTGACCCTCCAAGAGAGCCACATGGAGTGGTGTGTCTACAGATCATATTAATAACCCCCTCAGCTAACCGAGGTAGGGCAGATAGTACTTCCTTCATCATCAGTGGCAGTGAATATAGAGGGACTCGACTTGCCCAGTAAAGTCACTGCCGACGGCTCGTTCAGCCTACCTACACGAACAGATCCGACTCCGACCACGTGTAGTGAATTTCCAATACCACACCCCTTTCGAAACCCTCTCCTCTCCTCCTACCTACACGCCCAATGCGCCACATTATCCCCAGCCTCGTCAGCGACCTTCAGATCGGCCCCTCTCTTGATAAGAGGCAGGAGGGCTCCTCCACCATGACGAACCGCATGGACCTGTTTTGTCCTGCACCCTTTCGAGACCACCCCACCCTTACAATAGGAGGTAACACCATCACCGCATCACGAACGTTAACGTCGACCTTCTTGCTATCCAATAGGACCGAAATTATCTAAACATGGTTCGCTAGCATTGGCGATGATGAAGTCCTCTTCAACACTAAGAGTACACGACTATTCAGCGGTGAAAGCGGCCCCACTTTTCTCGCCATCGAGGAGTCCATATGCACCGATAAGAAGCTTGTCGCTTAGGCTCGGGCGTCAGTGAGGAACAAGTCACTATCGTTGTTAACAGAATCCCTTTTAGCAATGAAGACTCCACCATCCGGGACCAGGACAGACAGTAGGCCCTCCTGTCTATCTAAGACACCCCGACTGAGGCCCCTACTGAGTAGGGGTCTCAACAAACTCACTGGACACAGCAATGGTCCGTACGGAACCCACCCCACTACTATCTTACGATGATCAAATGGAGCGGTATCGAGGACGGGGACACCTCATCATTACCTCATCATCTTCAGACTCTATTGCAGCGATAAGAGGAGTGACGCCTCTCTTGCCCACAGCATTAGCGTCCTCCACCCAGCTCAACTGACGAGTTACCTCCCCAGCTGACGAGCCACCCTTTAGAATCGTCTTAACCAATGAGTCCACTGTTGCGGACATACGAACAGGGTTGGACAAAAAACTACATGACGATCACATTGGGAGTAGTGAGTGTTCCCCCGTAAAACCCGAGACCAACCGCGGCATGCTGCGATCTCATATTAGAACCTTGCTATCCTCAATCTCATATAAGTGTAGCAATACGTGAGTGAGAATAAACTTTCATGAGACTTTATTCTTTCCACCTTCTACAGGGCTGGCCGCCTGAGGCTAAGTATAGAGAGTTGGCCTACATGAAGTTACCTTATTCGGCAGATGCCCACTATGCTCAGTTCCCTTCGATCGAGACCATATGTAGCGCTCACAGAAGGCCACCCACGCCGGTATAATGCATCGAGAGAAGAGATAGGTCAAGAGCCAACAAAACACGTACCTATACAGAGAGCGTAGCTGAAAAGGCCTAGGCTGTCAACCTTACTGAACAGGCCTGTAGAACCTACCAAAGTGCCGTAAAGGGCCTGAAAGGGACAACACTCTATTCAGAAGGGCAGCAGCCCGAGTATGGTTACGGTCACCTCCTGGGGGATGAGTCTGATAGTTGATCTGAACCAACAAGACAAAATGGAGAGGCTGCAATAGACAGGAATGAAATGCACCCGCGAGAGAATAACAGAACCAAAGTCTCGGCTTAAACACTGGGTATCTGCTTCACAATAACGGTGACCGCTGCGCCCATGTTATACTCACGTTCGCATAGCAATGAGAATAAAAGGGGCTAGCACCAGTACCCAATGCTCCAGATAGAAGTGGAAGGTCTCTGGCACAGACAACACCATAAACGCTACCCAAAGAGACTAACACTACGCATACAAGGCTCTACCACAATCAGAACCCACGACTATCCACTGCCAATTCCCCAACAGGTGGTATATTATCACCGAGAGGGTAGCCTCGTTTGTTGTACTCCTCCATCTCAGCAAAGACCAAAGCCAAAGCCACACCCCACATCAAGTGAAGGTACACGTTGAAAAAGTAGATGGACACCTTCCACCTCCGAGACCAGTAGATGACCCCAAGCCCAATGCAGAAAACCTAAACCCAGCATGAATTCACTATCACAGGAACCTCTTACATGACAGGGCTGCAACAAAAACCAATTAGCCAGCACATCAGCTGAGGTCGAGCCTTCCCGACGAGCAAGGGCTGCCGTCGCCGTCTTGTACGCGATCACCCCAAGGGCCAACAGACTTGTCACTATAGCGTTGAGCAATTCTATCCTATCTGAGCGACGAGGGCAATGCTCTTCCCAGTGGTCCCAGCGATACTCAAGAGACTCCCACGGGCCCCACACTGAGGAGAGCCACAGATATCCCAATCCCAGGAGAGGGGCACACCTCGACAATGCTAGCTCAATACTTCCAGATAATTAGACATACCACATTTCCGACACTTCACACCTCGACAATGCTAGCTCAATATATGCAGATATTTCAACATACCACATTTCCGACACTTCACACCTCGACAATGCAAGCTCAATACTTCCCGACAACTCAATATACCACATTTTCGACACTTCCCAGCCCGACCCCCGCCTCCTTTTACTCATCTCAGCAGTATTGTCCCTCGCTGGCACTCTCAGCAGCCACTTTCCCCTACACCCAACACACTGATGAGCTGTAGATGTCCATGCTTACCTCATGAGCCCACCAACAATAGACGTCACGAATACTATTGAGTAAGTGAAGTATCCCAGCAGTTGCGTTGATGGGGTGAGGAACCACGAAGCGAAGCGTTCATCTCCACTCGAGTGCGCCCCACCATCCACACTAGCCACTTCCTAACAACGGCTACCTTAGCAACCATACCGGCACATCTACACCTACCAGGGACAGCTCTGGCTGGCAGTAAAACAACCATCGCGCTGCTGTCCTCAGAGGAGCGAAACTAATACTTGTTATTCCGAGTGCCTCCTCGCGCCGAAGGTAGTCATCTGGGGCCAACGGTGCAGGTACACCTACAACAAAAGCGCGCGCCCGTCAGCGGAACCAGCATCGATTGTGAAGACCCTCACCCGCCTGCCCTCTGGTCCTATCAGCTCTCCATGCCTCCAGCACCATTGCAGTGATCAGCCATAACGTCATCAGCACCGCTGGGAGGACGATACAGTACGTCCATATAAAGGAGTAAGGCCTCTGCCGTTCATCGCCCTTCTCAGTGTTTTGATGTTGCATTGAAAACTAAGACCATAAATAGCAGGAGCATTATTTTCATACTAAACTCGACACACACATAGCAGCAGTAGGAACAATAAACGTTATGGTACTCAAAGGCCATCCCGACGAACTCTCTCCCCTATAACCCTTTCTATCTCTTTCGACACCTGAGTGGTCGCGGCGAACCCATAGCTTAGTATTTTCGACATATTCGGTTTAGTCTTATCCCTCCCTCCTCCCACCTCAGGTGACGAGGACAGTGACCGTAGAAGGAGCACCTACCAAAACAGCTGTCCCTGAGAATGGGGAGCTCATACGTCACTACTTCTTTCGAGACGTAAGTCAACCCAAGTGTGGTGAGATGCTGCCTCTCACTCTTGTCTCCATCGGGGAGGTCTTCGCCTAGTGTTGGGTCTGCCAACACGCAATTGCCTCTAGAGGCGATATTGACCACACTTAGAATGTCCGATACGTGCACCTGAAGCTGCTTTCAAACGACCCACAGAAATCACAGTCTTCAACCACGAAGAGACCACCCGCATAAGCCCGATAATAGAGCCTTGCAGAGGACAGCCCTCATGATGAAAGGAAGCCGTATCTCAGTGAGAGTGATACTTCCTAGAGAGTCCTATATAGCGCCCTCGAGAAAGGGCTACTACAACGGTTGAGACCCCGCGAATACCCCAACTTACACACAATGCCGTAGCAGTCATAGCAGCAGCCATAGCACACGGCAGTACTCGTTCGGCTGAGAAGCCACCAGGAGGGCAGGAGACAACCGACACAT